TATTTGAAAAAAAAATCATATTATATTATATATCATTAATATATCATCAATATTATCAAATATTATAATTTTTAAGATATTCGCATTATTTTGTTCCATATTTCAGATAAATTTCGAGTTCTTTTTTAAATATAAATATAATTCAAATAGAAAAAAAATAGTAATTTTAATTTATGTATGATTAACTGCTTTTTAATTTGTTTGAAAACAAACTAATATATATTAGTTAAATGATATTAAAACGATTTGAATATATTATAATCAAATAGAATGTAGTTAAGAAAATAAATACATGTATAAACATTTTTCAATTCAAGAAAATGATAACTTTTTTATTTCTCTTGCAAAGTATTAAGTTCAAAAAATTTGCTATAATTTACAATCAATAAATGAATTCATTATTTTCACAATTTGATTGATGTTCATAGTAATTTGCATCAATAATTTAATGACTAGAACATACAATAATTATATATTATACTTTTCATATCTTATAAAATCATTAAATTAAAATTATAAATGATTTAATGTAATGATATCGAATTAAATTCTAGATTTAATATTATAATAATTTAATTAAAATTAATTTAATTAAAATTTAATATTAAAAATTATATATTAGTTTTTCAAGTTTTTTCCATTTTCATCAAAATTTCGGTTTACAAAATAATCTTTCAAAAATAAATTCCACTGTCCTATTGTCACTAAATTAGACCGAAACTAATTTAAACCGAAACTGGCAACAAGGAAGAAGAGAGAAAGGAAGAAAGTGAAGAAAATGAAAATACACAAATACGATGAAGAAGAAAACGAAAGAGAAGTAAAGTGCGGCCAGAAGCAGCGCAAGAATCGAAAAGAAAAAAGCAAGACAAGGTCTCGTTATCTCCGATCTTTACCCCGTCGAGGAACACGTACCCCCCGTGGAATGTTTACCTCTCCTCCGCGAGTTTCGTATCGTCCACCTCTCATCGGGGTTCCCAAAAAGCCCAACCCTCGTTTCGCTTTGATCCAGAGACACCGCCTCGACCAATCGAGACGAAAACGGAAAAAAGAGAGCGTGTACGCATAGTACAGAACGTGGAAGCAAGATGGACAAGAGAAAATAAGTCGAAGAGGTGGGGAAGGAGACCGAGATGGAGGAGGAAAAAGATAGGGCGCGAGAGAAACGGAATGAAAGAAGAAACGTTGTGGTACTGGTGCCTCGGTGTATCTACAGCCATATTTTAGCCCGTCCTTTACAAGACAATGGTTTCAACCGAGGACCGATAAAAATTATTCAAATGACTAGTCCCGCTGTAAATTCCATCCGGGAATCCCCTTGCCACTGCTTGTCCTCCGCGAGAGTCATCCTCGATATGTAACGTGCGCAACCAAGTCAAAATGCTCGCGTTTTTGCATACAATTTAATATTTAAGATATTAGAGTCAAAAATTTTGTATTTTATTGCAACAAATGCTTGATTTGTGATATATTGTTTCGAATAATGATAATTATTATTTGACGTTGTGTTCTTTGGTTAATTAATAACTATTGGATAATTTATTTAATTAAGGAAATTTAAATTAAGCTAATTTTTGAAAAAAATGATAAATTAAGGAGTTCATTATTTAAAGAAATAAATAGGGATATTATGATTTATAATAGATGTATTATTTCGAACATTTTATTTGATGTAATCTTTATTTAAATAATTGTTCTATGTTTAATGAAGGAAATTTACAATAAATATTTGGAAAAGTAATTAGATTGAAGAGTTCACTATTTAAATAAATATATATTTAAATAATATATATTTAAAATTATAAATTTAAAAATATAATATATTTCTAATCATTATTTAATTATTTGATTAAAAATTTGTTCTTAAAAAAAATTTAAAATAAATATTGAATGATAAATATAATAAATAATTAAAATAAGT